TTTCTTTTTTCAAGCGAGGAGTTGGAATGTCGAGAATGCCGAAAAAATGTTTAGAGAGGTATGGTTATGCTATTAAATATTTGTTTAAAGTTTTAATTGGTTATTTAAGAATAATATGCATTTTTTGGATTCAAGTTTGTTAATTAGTGTTTATAATGATTTTAGTCGATGAATTGGAGACAACAATGGGGAGTCGACGGATATTTACGTACATGGCAACCGGGAGAAGTCATGGATAAGTATATTGCGTATGGAGTGATTGGAACTGATCCAGAAGGGTGTCCAAGTATGTAAAAATAAAAAAAAAGTTCTAAAAACCTTCGCATAAAACTTCTGTTAAGTATTGTGTGTTGCCTACTCGGTATACATAGTCTATCATGTAATTGGCGTGGCCGCCATTTTTGTTTAAGCACAATTAGTCAATTAAAGCATAATTTTTTTGTTTTTTAGTTGCTATTATCCCAATTAAGGGCGTGGACATTGTTGGAATTCTACATTCAGTGAGCCGCCATGACTTCATCAGGTTCGCCATTAACGTCCTGGAGACCACACTGGAAAAAGCCGCAAAACGGGGACAACACGAAATTGTTGTCATTTTTGATATGGAAGGCTTCCAACTTCGACCGTACGCATGGCGACCAGGTAAGAATACAAGTAAATCCAATTTATGACAAATTAATTCGTAAAAAACTAATTTTTAGCTACACAACTTGTCATTTCCATGATACAAATGTACGAAGCCAATTATCCAGAGTCATTGAAAGCTTGCTTCGTAATCAACGGTAAATTCTCTTAAAATAATCAAAATAAAATCAATTATTAATTGTAAATTTTATATTTTTAGCCCCAAGAGTATTTGCCTTTGCATTCAATGTAATTAAACCCTTTTTGGACGAATACACAATCAGCAAGATCAGCGTTTTCAAATCAGACCCGAGAAAGTACCAGAAAGCAATGAAAGAATGTATTCCGGACGATCAACTTCCGGTACACTATGGCGGAACAATGGTAGATCCTGATGGTGATCCAAAATGTCCCTCTAAGGTTAGTTAATACCAAACCCAAACAACTACTACCGCCACCTAACCAACAAAAACTAAACTAAAATACTTTAAGATTAACTACGGCGGTACAGTACCCAAGAGCTTCTACAAAAAGAACTTCGAACAAGACAAAAAACGTGACTACACCGACACGAGTGTAAAAAGTGGTGGAAAAATAGTTCTAGTTTTCAACGCACCCGAAGAGGGATGTTACCTTAAGTAAGACATCCGCCATTTTGTATACTTACTCAAAATACAACAATTTTAATTGTTTTGTAGCTGGGACTTTGTCACTGAAGACCACGACATCAAATTCGGCGTCACCTGCAAGGACGACGCCACCGGACACGTTCACCAGGTGATCAAAGCAATGCGTGTGCCTTCACATCAAGTGGAGGAATCAGGCGCGTTGCAATGCAAACCAAATTACACCTGTACGTACAAAAAACTCACTTGTTCACACATTCTGATGAAAATATCGATCAAACATTTTTGCTTTCAGATACGGTGACGTTCGATAACACATACAGTATGTTCAAGAACAAGAAGATCAAATATTCCGTTTACATGACAGAACCAATCACCAAACTGGATATGAGTGTGTTACCAGCGAACGAAGAGTAACAATCAACAGATTTAAACATTAAAATAAACTATTTACATTAAATAGATTATTCAATCAGCAATCTATAAGATAATATAATAAATTTAGATGTAAACAATAATATTACACCAGGATAAGGTTGGTTATTGTACGTTTTGCTCAAAGATTACACTTAACAAACAGAAAATGGCGGATGTGGCAGGTTAAGTAAGAAAATACATTATTTTTGATATTTAGGCGTGTTTACGTTTAAATAATGATGAAATATTGGCAACAATTAGTAAAAAAGCATATAAAATTGTAAAATTTCACATAATTCTGTATTTTTCAGCGTTTGTATTCATTATT